GGCATTGTTGATGAACCCCTTACTCAAGATGATTTGGTTGTTCATGAAGAACAAACTCAAGATCCTCAAGAACCTATGCATCATGAGCTAATAACTTTGCAGAGATCCACTAGAGAAAGAAGAAGTGCTATTTCGGATGATTACATGGTATTTCTTTAGGAACATGAGGAAAATAATGATATAATGGAAGATGACTCAGTTAACTTACGTCAAGCTATACAAGGTTCTAACTCTCAAAAGTGGATTGAAGCAATAGGATAAGTATAAGTCCATGCAAGACAATAAGGTTATTGGGAACTTGTCCCATTACCAGAAGGTATGAAACTCATTTGGCTTCAAGATGAATATTGTTGATGATTGTATGTATCACAAGTTTAAAGGGAGACAAGTTTAGTCTCAATCAGTGCCCAAAGGGAATTTGGAAATTGAGGAAATGCAAAAGATTCCATATGCATCAGTTGTAGGGAATTTGATGTATGCCCAAGTATGTTCGCGTCCAGACATAGCATACATAATTGGATTTCTAGGCAGATATTTAAGCAATCTAGGAATAGACCATTGAAAAGCAGCAAAAAGGGTCATAAGATATTTAAAGAAAACAAAAGATTATATGCTCACATATAGGAGGTCAGACCAGTTGGAGATCGCTGGGTTTTCTGACTCAGATTTTGTAGGATGTCAAGAATTTGTAACATGCTATGAGGCATCAAATCATGGAATATGACTGAGAAATTTTGTCACAGGGCTGCAAATTGTGAAAGACATTGAAAGACCACTTAAGTTATATTGTGACAATAAATCAGCTGTATTGTTAAGGAAAGAGTACAAAGTGGACAGATTTCCATAGAACACTTAAGGACAAACTCCATGATAGCATATCCTCTAACTAAAGGACTTCTGCCCAAGGTCTTTCATGAGCATGTTGCTCACATGGGTGTTTTACAGTTTGAGGAATTTGTGGTTTAGTGGGAGTTAGTCACTTTCATATATTTTATGTTCTATGTTTAATTTCATATATGTATACATTGATTTTTGGACATATTTGGTTATCTATAGATATGCGGTTTTTTTCGTTCATTCATTACACTTTGTACATTAAGGATATTATATCGATCTCGATAAGTTAAAGTTTGGACCAGTTGAAAATAGACGTGTACAGATCACCTTCACGTAATTTTTCATGCTACACATTTCATGATGAATCCATGTCATTTGGTTATGTTAGGATGAGTAATCATTGTTGGTTTTAGTTGCGATGATGCAATGAAAAGCTGGTTTGGTTCTATATCCTGATATGATTAATGGACATGACTTTTGGAGTATGCTAAAGGAATATAATAGCAATTTTGAGCTCATAAAGTCTAACACATTTGTAAGGTTGTAAGGACATATATATTTGTGACCAGTGGGAGATTGTTGGAAAAATTTGGATCATGTATATATATGATACATAATTTAAATGTGTTAGGGTCATTATTTATTAAGCCAAATAATAAAGTGATCTGACTAAATTAAAGTTTTTGCTAAAGACATATGTCATGAAAATAAAATTGTGTAGAGACCATTGAGCAATTTCTAATTTGATGAGGGGCCAAATTAGAAATACTAAAACTTAAGTAATTAACATAATTCTGGTTATTTTAAGGGGTCGTGGTCCCCTTCTGGGAGCACACACAGAACGTAAGTATCAGTCTCATTCCTTTCTTTCTATCCCCATCAAGAGAGAAAATCAAGAGGGAAATACAGGTGCTCTTCAGGTGGAAGACCATAAGATCAATATAGTGCTCTACAAAGACATCATCATTATGACTAATTCAGGTACGCTTTCGCATTCAGTTTACAACATGTTTATCAGTATGGGATTATGTTTATGTTTGATCGTTAGAATCAAAATCAGGATTATTATTATTATTATTGTTTTTTCCAACAATGAACACCTCCCTATAATCCACTAGGGATGAACACCTCCTCTGAACAAATCAAAGGATGAAAAACACTTCCTTAGAATCTCACTAAGGATGAATACCTTCCCATAATCACACTAGGGATGAAAACCTCCTTTGAACAAATCAAAGGATGAAAACACCTCCTTAAAATCTCACTAAGGATGAACACTTCCCTAGAATCACACTAGGGATGAAAAACACCTCCTTTGCCACGAACACACAAAGGATGAAGGTAATAATAAAAATAAAAACAGTCACACTTGGGTAATGGAGACAAAAAATTGTAGAAGTCTGTAGAATATAAATCTCCAAGAACAAGTGTGATTAACAATGAAAGCACAGAAGGTAGTAGAGAAGATGGTTTTCTCAAAAATTGTAAAATATCTTTGTTGTCTTGCTCATAATTCTTTTCTCAAAACTGATTGAATATAAATTGTATTTTCGAATTCTGTAGTTGTGTGTATTTGATTTTTCATTAAAACTTAATTAAATAGAAAAATAGCATCAGAAAATGGTCATTGGACATTAATATTTTTGTCAATAAAAATCAGGATATATTCAAAAATATTTATTCTTCAAAACAGATATATTTTTCAAATTTAAATTGTCATAATTGATTATGTCACCAGTATAATCAATTATGACAAAGAAAATCATTTTTCCATTTCTGATGCATCATAATTGATTATGAAAATGAAAAATATCACGTTATGAATTTTATCACACTTCGTGCTTTGGAGGCTTATGCATAATATTACTTCATCAACTTCTACCTCCATATCCAAGTATTCTAAGACTCTATCTAGTCTTCAGGAATCATCTTGGGCTTTTTGAATCATCATCTTTATCAAAAATATATCTTGGGCATGTAGGGAAATATTTTACATTTTCACCAATGTCTTAAATTCAGTTTGTCCTTAATTCATCTTGAATGGTATTGACTTGAATGTAGTTGACTTGAATCATCATCAAAATCATCTCTTGGAAATGTAGGGACATTTCCATCAATCTTCCCTTCATTGTTTTCAATTACAATATCAAATAATTAAGAAAAATTAATCATACAAATAAAATATAAATATAATATTTAATAATATATTTTTAACAATAAATCTAAATATATTATTAATCTAATAAATATATAAATCTTTTTAAAACTATAATTTAAAACTATAAATTTTAAATAAAATATTATATATATATATATATATATATATATATTATTTTACTATTTGAAAAACTAATCGATTATTTTAAAAATTAATTGATTATTTTTTCAAAACTCGATAAGAATCGGTTATTTTTTTAAATAATTAATTAGTTTTTAAATAATCAATTAGTTTTTAAAATATATATTAAATAATTATAAATAAAAACATATATCAAATTAAAATTAAAAAAATATTTATAAATTATAAATATAAAGTTAAAAACATTATATTTAAAATTATAATCTTAAAAAATTAATAATTATAAAATAATAAAAATATAACTATTTTTATTGTTAAATAAATTATATATATTATATAAATTATATATATATATATATATTACATATACAATTACATATATTACATATATAAACTTCAAACTAATTATATATATATATATATATATATATATATATATATTACATAAATTAAAATAAAAATTATGAACTTAAAAATAAATTCTATTTTAATAATATATATATATATATATATATATATATATATATATATATATATACAAAGTATAACTTATTTTTATTTCTATAATATTATATATATATATATATATATATATATATATTTCAAAATATTACAAAACACACAAAAAAAATACATTTCAATAATATAATTTTTAAGATTTTTATTACCCTCCTAATTTATTATTCATTTCTAAAAAATTTTACAATATCAAATAAATCAAAGAATTAAAAAAATTAACCATAAAAATAAAATATAAATATAATATTTAACAATATATTTTATTTTCCTGATTTCAACAACAAATCTAAATATATTATTAATTTAAGAAATATATAAATCTTTTTAAATTTATAATTTAATTCTATAAAATTTAAATAAAACATTATAATATTATATATATATATATATATTAGTTAGTTTTTCTTTTTTAACAAAATAAATAAATAAAAAACTAATTCCAATTTTGATTACTAGAAAATTAAATTTTAACTGGTTTAAAGAAAAATAAATATTCATCCACATTCAGATTTCGTGTACCAAAGAATCCAATTCTCAACTTAAAAAAAATAAATAAAACCTACAATACGTTATTTGAGTAATTAACAAAAAAATTTTCTTAGTTGACTTCTTTGTCTTAATTTTTATATCTCACAATAATCACATATATTTAAATATCTTAAATGCAAATTTGCTTCAATCTTTGATTATATTAACCTAACTTTATAAATTTTACAATTCACTTAATATATATATTTAAACTAATTTTTAATTAATTCCTATTATTCAAAACAATTTTTTCTTAGGTATATTTATATAATAACATCACCACTAATGTTTCACATTATCTAACCCATCTACATTTTCTAACAATTAAAGATGATTTAGTTTTTAAAATAGTTAGATTAAAATATATGAAACTTTTCATTTTCAACCAAGATTAATCAATATGTACAAATATAAATTTCTGGATTATTATTAAAGATTTAAATAACTTTTATGTTTTTCGTATATAATCGATTTTTATTTTGAAAATTTACTAATTTTTTTCTTTAAATAGAATATTTATTAAACTAAAAAATTTACTTTAAATATTTATGATATTTAACAATTTTATTATCTTACGTGTCTATTAAGTTAAAACACACACCAAATTATTGAGAAATAATATTTTTTTTCTTGCAATGAAAAAATTAGTTTTTAATTAATAAAAAATTGAGAGAATAAAAATATAATTTTACAAATATTTGACATAAGAATAACAATAAAACCTAATACATTAAAAAAAAACAATATATATATATATATATATAATTTAATAAGTATTTTGTTAGAAGAAAAAAATTATTAAATACTCAGCAAAAAGATGTTATTGAGAATGTAAACCTTATTCCAATAATGAAAATTTAAATTTTATATTGATATTCAGATATGATTTAATTTAAGATTAAGTAACGACGTTATAATTATTATATAATAATTTTATTTTAAAAAAATTGAATATAAATTATCAAAAAAAATACATATATGAATACATTTTAAATAACATTCAAATGTTAAATATTACTGATTACTAATTTCAATATAATAATAACTGCAATGACAATAACAATATGATTTATTTATTTTTGTAAATAATTAGCTTTCAAACTAAAATATATTTACCATTCGTCTTTATTTCATTCAATTTTAAATATTTTAGCATTTTAAAGCAATAATAATAAATAATATAATAGCAAGTAACTAAAAATTATGTTATTTGTTTGTATTTTTAATAACTAATATTATTTTTTGTAATTTTAAAGTAAAGTGTAACATTATAATTATTATATAATTTTCTTTAAAAATAGTAAGGAAAAAATAAATTACATAATATTTTTGTATGGGTGGATATAAAAATACGGTTTATTTTTTATATGATTTTATTCAATTCTTAAATATTGTTACTCGTCATCTTTAATAATAATAATAATAATAATAATAATAATAATAATAATAATAATAATAATAGTAATAGAGTTCTCATAAATTCAATCATAAAATAAATGCATTTTGCACTGTAATAAAAAATATTTTGAGATTAAAATGGACAAGTGTTATTAATTATGTAATAATATTATAGTTAGTGTTATTAATAGCATTACTATTTTTATATCACAGACAAAAATAACATTTAAAGTATAGGATGTAATAATATTAAAAAATCGTAAGACATAAATAATAATAGTTAAAGATAAATATTAATAAGATCAGTCTGGAACATGTAATAAACGTTTTACATTACTAACTTAAAACATAGCAGTAATAATTTAAATATAAAATGTTTCATTTAAGTCTTAACTACAAAATCTTAACAAGATTACATGATTAACAAAATTATGTAGAATATTAAAATATCATTTAAAAAAATTTACAATTAAAAGCTATTACCTACAAACACACAAAAAATCAAGAACATGTAAACATAATATTCACAATAACAGAAATAAACACCTAAATTTATATTTATTTTTTGGCTTTAATATTTACGTACATGAAAAAAAGACATAAAATAAAGATTAAAAAAACCATATTTATGTATTTAAACTATATATTATATCACTTTTGTTGTTTGAATAAATAAGTATTTTGATAATTCAAAATTTGCTTGGTTAAAAATAGAATACTTTTAAATTGTTCTATAATTTTAATTAATATTCTACTAAATATCTGAAGCCATAAGTTTATTTTTCTAATACATTTTTAATAAATACTAAAGTATATGAATGTATTACTTTAGGGAGTTACTCAATTAAGATGGTTGTATAGTATCGGCAAGAATATCGAATCAAAATAAATAGTATCCTAATTAGTACTTTTTAAAATTATTATTAATAATAATAGATCCAACAAATAAACTCAAATTCATAGATAATAGGTATTACTTAGATCATGACATTATTTTGACGAAAATAATAATAATTTTGATTAAGATGAACTTTTCCAATTATGGGTAATTATTGAGTATGAAAATTGAATTATTTAATTACTTTATTATTAATTTAAACTTTAAAAAAATACATATTTAGTCCTTTAACTAATTTTATAAAAATAAAAAACATTATTATATACAAAATTTAAAATAAAATCAACAAAATTATATTTAATCATTTTATAAATTATGTGAAGATAAAAAATTATAATTAAATATTAAATTCAAATATAAAAAAATAACTAAAAATATATTTTGTTTTCTGAGTATAATAGTAATCGGGGGGTGCTAACAGTAACATCCTCCAAGCATTATTAATCTATACTTATAGTTATAGGTTTGGGCCACTGACTGGTTGGTTCCTTCTAGACGGTTATTGTAGTCAACGGTCAATGTCTTCGCCGTGTGGAGGCCGCGGAGAAGGCACACGGTTGTTAACGCATCAAGATTCTTCCCTCTCTTTGAAGCATTCAATTTCAAGCTGGCTGCTATAGAAGATAGATTCTCTATAATCCAGAAGCTTTAGTTAGGGTTTTCTGTCACTGCCATGGATTTCGAGAGTAGGAGGCTTCATTTGCTCATCTCTGTGGTTGCCATCATTGCTCTCAGCTTTACAGGTACTTTACTTTTATTCATCTCCCTCAATTCAATTTTGTTTTTTTCTATAAAGTTAAGATCCGGGGTGCACGAAGACCCTCCCCAATAACAGATCCCAAATCTCTGCAGTTCGATACGGTTACAGTTGAGGTAGGGTACCATTTTTAGGTGAAAAACAACTATGTCTGGCTTTATAATCCGAGAAATAACGGATTGTTTGAGGGAATATTTCCATATTTCTATCACTTTCATGAATTCTAATAATTGCCTTGGACCTGTTGTGTTTACATGTTCTCCTTCTTGTGTTGTTTTCATACCATAGCAAAACAAAAATAAAATAAACTAACTTGTGGTTTTTCCAGAAAGGAGGTCCCTTCCTCAATTTCATCCTTGAAATATTATATAAGTAATGTCTCAACTACTAGAAATCATTCCAAGTAATCTCTCAAAAACAGAAAAACTATTTTAAATTGGTTTCTGAACATTAGTAAAATATATCAACTTGGAGACTAAATTGATAGATATTCAATACTCGAAGGATTTAGGAGAGAGGGTAGTAGTTAGTGGACCTAATTGACGGTTTATTCCTTTTTATTTCTTACCTGACATTGTCTTATTTGACTGATGAAATCTCCAAAATACCCTGTTTGGTGATTCAAGTGTCTGTTTATGCTCATGTAAGTTGTTGCTCCTATCAGCTGAAAAATGCAGGGAACTTGTTGGACAAGATGGGTCATCCCAGAGTGGAAAGTTTACGATCTTAAATTGCTTTGATATGGGTTCTGGGACTGTAGCATGTGCTGTGAAGGAAGGCGTGAAACTCTATTTTTACAATATTAGATCTTCTCATGTTGAAAGAGCAAGGACTCGTGCAATTGAGTCTGCCCTTGTTGAAGCTGTTTCTCAGGGGATGTCCCCAGCAGATTCAGCAAAACATGCACAGAAGATAGGTAAGAAGGCAGCGAAATTGGCTTCCCGTCAAGCCAAGCGGATTATAGGGCCCATTATCTCTTCTGGATGGGATTTTTTTGAAGCTATTTACTATGGTGGTACTGTCACAGAAGGGTTCCTTAGGGGCACTGGTACTTTGTTTGGTACTTATTGTGGAGGGTTCCTCGGTGAGCAAAGGCTTGGTAGACTTGGCTATCTTGTTGGAAGTCACATGGGCAGTTGGGTTGGTGGTAGAATAGGATTAATGGTGTATGATGTGGTTAATGGAGTGCATTTGTTGTTGCAATTTATTCAGACCGGAGAAATTGTAGTTCCTGAAAAATCTGAACCACCTGAAAGTTCCTTTTTTGGTGAAACTCCTGTTTTTGATAGCTCTGAAGGCTCCAGATTCTATGAATCACCTCCCAGCGAAGAATCCTATGCCTATGAAACATATAAAGATTCTGAACTGTGATGAAAATTTGAAGTTCATATACTGATATTTGCTCAAATTTTAGGTCAGCTCTGAAGGCTTTCAGTGTTGGCAAATCATCCCCCAGCGAAGTGTACAATGCATATGAATCTATTGAAGCTCACAGCTTTGAAATATATGATGATTCTGAGCTGAGATAAAATTTTGAAGCTCATATATATTGGTACTTGCTCAAATTTTAGGTTGATTTTTAGTGTTTTTCTTCAATGTCTTTGCTTCAATATTGTAGGGATTGCGAACCTCTGGAGCCGCTAGAAGTGCTCCATCTCTTGTAATTAGCGAATGTTGGAGGTCCCAGCTAATATGCTGAATATATCTGTTGCCCTCAAGCTTTCATGAAACTCTAAGTAGCTTTCTCGGATTCAATGAAAGACAGAAAACAGAAATTGGTTGAAACTAAAATGATTCTTTTTTTCCTGCAAGCTTGAAGATTGCTATCCAAAATCCTTCATCTTTTACTCTTTAGCAAACTCACGTAGTTTAGAACAATCCTATTTAAATATTTGATAACAACGAAAATAATTTAATTTTGGGGGATATAAACTAACACTCTTTACTACTATGGGTGAATTGCAAATGGCATTTATTGAACACGTGAATGAGCAAAAATATATTTGAACCAACGTTGCATTGAAATCAATTACATTTGATTATATCATTGTCCAAAAAAATTAACCAATGATGTAATTCGTTAAACTTTTTATTAATCCTGCATTACTTTTTTAATTGCATTGCCAAGTTACATTCTCAAATTCTTATACTCATTGCATTCACAAATTCTTTACTTTTTATTCTCCTCACAATCCTTTATTTTTTTTATTAAATTTGAAATAACCCAAATTTTTTTATTTATTTTGAAATATCAATTTTCTTTTATTTTTTTTCTTTAATCTTTCCAAACTTCTTCATAAAATGTTTGAATATATAAAACAAAAAATAGACAATGATAATTTTGATCTCGTAAAAAAAAATCATTTGCCAATCCTTCATTTCAGTCAAATCAATCACACGTATTTTTTAAAAATTATACAGTCATTTTTATTATTTTCAACTTAACTAAATAATCTCAATTTTCATTTAACACGTTTTCATTTATTTGCTTTTTCACGGGCCTTTTTAATTCCTATAAATTGAAATGATGCAAGATTCAACATATGATAAACAAGTATATATATATATATATATACACACGTGTGTGTGTGTGTGTGAGAATTGGTGTGGCTTATATATTTCTAAAATATTGGATGCATAGTTTCAAAACAAATTTTGATTTTAAGAAAGATAGTGATATTTGAAGCTTGAAATTGGTATGTGTCATTGGAACAATATAATTAATAGAAAAGATAAATTCGAGTTGATGTTTAGGGTCCAATAATATCCAATGAAAATGATTGTGTAGCGGCAATGAAGGAAAATTATGAGGTAAAAGATTTTAGATGTATGTATTAGAAAAGTTATCAACGATAAAGTATAATTTAGTTGAGCCAAATCTCAATGTCTTATCAATCCTACAAACTTGTTTGCATTAGATTCTTAGATCGTTACAATTATAAATCTATAAATAGGACCTTTTAAAGATATTTTTATTGTTGAATTGAACAATGTGCAAAACACTTTGTAATAGTTATTCAAATTTAGGATTGTAAAGACTAGTGGGTAAACTTAATTTGGTCTGATAAATTAAGTACACATTTTTAATCACTCAATTTTATCTATATTTTAAAATATTTATACTTTTTAGTTTAGTAACAGACCAATTTATTTATACAATACAAATTAAGATTTGATCTAAAAAAAATAATTTTATCCAAAAATAATATATTAAAAAAATTATAATATATCACTGAAAATTTAATCAAATTTTTGCTACTTGGTCTAGGTAACCGTTCAAATCTATTTTTTATTATTTAAACAAATTAGTTATTGTCCAACACAACTTCATATGAAAAAAATAAAAAATTCTCTAACACATTATATAAGAAAAGAAGAATGACAAAATAGACTAAATTTAGCGGAGTGGCACATCAACCCATCCTATAAAATGGTAGATTAATTGATATTTTTAGTTCATCAATCTATTTTAATTTATCTTACCAACTGAACGGGTTAAAGACAAAACGGGAAAGACGAGTTGACTAGCGTTAAAAATATATTTATATATAACAATTAAAATAAAGAAGGATTTTGATAAAAAATACTTTATTTTCTTTGTTATGTTATTGAAATATATTATAATATTATCATTTGAGTTAAAAAATAATCAATTAAATTTAAATTATTATTATAATTAATTATTTTAACACACAAATATAATAATTTTTTAATTTATCTCATAAAAATACTAATTAATAAATAAAAATTTAAAAATTATTTATATAATTAAAGATATATTTTAAAAAATACATAAAAAAATTTTACATATAAAAAAAATTATTGACAAGTTGGGATACTTGACCGATCAGCTCGTCCTTTAGTGGGATAAGTTGAGATCTTTAGCATATCTTAATTATGAAAGTCTAGTTCAGTCCTATCCCGCTTTGTACAGACTTAGAGATAAGGCGGGTCAAAACAAGACAATTTGATGTGTTTCGTCATTTTTATTTATAAATACATTTCAATTAAGAATATATAATTTCTCAAAATTTTACATTTGTATTTTTTCACTCTTATCAATAACCGATTTTTCCAAAATAATTCTACATGCTCATAAATAATAATATTTGTTTTCTTAAACTCTTTGTATTTTTCTTCAAAAATATCCTAAAGGTATAACAAAATTGTGATTATTAATAATTCGGATTACTAATTACAAGAATAATTCCTTTGTCTATATTAATACCAAATAAAGTTATAATAATTTATATAAGTGATATACAAATAAATAAGTAAAAAATGATAATTTAATTAAATAGCATAAATAATAAAAGTAAATAAATATACTATTGAAATTACAAGGCAAAATAATAAAAATGGAATATGAGAATATATGTGTAAGAAGAAAAGTACGAGAATTCAACTTTACCATTGTGTTTCTCTTTAGTGATTTATTGTTCACACAGATGAGGTAGCGAGGACAACTTCTGTTTGTTTCAACCAATGTAAGGAGATTCATGAGAGCGAATTTGAGAGAAACAGTGGATGAAGTGACCCGCTAGAATGGGGAGAAAAAGCAAGAAACCCATGTCACCGAGTGTCCATTTACCATGTTACCCCTTCCTATCTCCCATGTGAACCAAATGTGCATCGTATCCCACAGTAGCGTTGAATCGTTTTTATGCAGAAAATCATTTTAGATATTTCTGCTCACTCACGTGCAAATTCTTGGTAGTTTGAATAAAAAAGTGGAAGAAACAATTATAAAAATAAGGGATTGATGTGAATATTAGATAACATAATTTAAAAGAGTTTTCTTTGTGTATAAGGATTAGAGTAAGTTGTGAGTTAGAGAGAGTTTATAGTTTTTTCGGGCAAAAATGTATATGAGGGTTTGCAATTTTTTGATCCTAAAAATTGTACGTTGAGTAATAAAATATTGTTGAGTGTGTTCGTAGATGTAGGCCTTGAGGGGCTGAACCATGTTAAAATATTTTGTGTGTTTTTAATTGTTTGTTGTGAGTGTGTGCTTCCGCTGGTTAAGTTTTGTGTGAATGTGTTCTTTTCCTTTCTGGTACCCAACAGTGGTATCAGAGCTGTTGGTGTGGTGGGCTATGTGGGATTCTTAATTCTTAGTATGCTCTTTGATTGCAGTATTATCTGATCTTTCAAATCAGAAAAGAATTGAGGTTCTGTCATAGGGAGGAAGAGAAGCAGTGTGTCAGGGAGGAAGAGAAGCAGTACGTGTGTCAGAGCAGTGCGGAGTTATGGCTATGACGAAGTTAGATGTTCCTTTATTTGATGAGAGGATAGACTTCTCCTTATGTCAATGCACAATTCAAGACTATTTAGTCCAATAGGGTCTCGATTGTGCCTTAGAAGAAGAAAAGTCAATTGAGATGAAAGATTCAAAATGAAGTACAATCCAAAAAAAAGGTAGTGAGCAGAATTTGATTGGCACTAGCTCCACAAATCAAAATGATTGTGTTGAAAGAAACCTCTCCAAGAAAGTTGTGGGATTTGTTGGAAAGCAAGTTTGCATCAACGACGTTGATCAATCGATTGATGATGAAAATGGATTTGTACTCACTGAAGATGGAAGATGAAGGTAATGTGTTTGATCATATTAATAAGTTTAATGAGTTGATATCCAGACTGATGAATGTAGGGGAGACTATCAAAGATGAAGAGCAGACATTGTTGTTGTTGGCTTCTTTACCAAATCTTATAAAACACTAGTGCAATCATTGCTATTTGGGAAGAGTATATTGTTACTAGATGAGGTGATAAAGACGTTGAAGGAGAGTCAACAAATGATGGGTGGTAATAAATGTTTTGAAGACAGTCAAATACTGCTAACTAAAAGCGGGCGAGGAAAGAAGTATGGTGATCAACATGGTAGAAGAATCCAGCCGAGAGATATGAGTATTGTTAAGTGTCATTACTGTGGAGAGTTTGGTCACATTCAAGTCAAATGTCCAGAATTCAAAGAGGACTTGAAATACATGAAGGAAAAGAAAAGTATTCCTTCTGTAAATATGACCAGTCATGATGATGAATTAGTGTGAAACTTTGGATGAAGGGAGGATATGTTGTGTCAGTGTGTGGGTATCCTTCAAAGTCCCACATTGGATAGTTTGAAGAAGGGAGTGGAAGGAAACCACTATAAAAATAAGGGATTGAGGTTAGTATTAGACACCATTGTGAGTTAGAGAGGGTTTACAGTTTTTCTGGGCAAAAATTGTATCTGAGGGTTTGCAATTTTTCGGTCCTAAAAATTGCACGTTGAGTAATAAAATATTGTTGAATGTATTTGTGGATGTAGGCCTTGAGGTGTTGAACCACGTTAAAATATTTTGTGTGTTTTTAATTATTTGTTGTGGGTGTGTGCTTCCGCTGATTGAGTTTTGTGTGCAGGTGTTCTTTTCCCTTCTGGAACATAAATTATGGTGAAGATTCATCTTTCATCATGACCATGTTGAAGGTTCAATTGTCATTAGAAAATAGTTTCTCTTAAGAGATTCTAATGATGCATGATCTAGATTCTTATCTCTATTATGATCAAGAAGGTTAAAGATTATATGCTTATATTTGTTAACAAATATCGATTTAGGGACATTAATTATAGTTCTTTTTTCGTAATCAACACATTCCTTAACAAAAGTTACATCTGATTCATCTACTTTTTTTAGTATCCTCTAAGATTAACTTTAAAGCCTCATCCCAGAAGTCTTCTATTTTAGTTCTAATATCGATTTGGGGAGTATCCAATGTTTTAGCAAAGTGTGAAATCCAGGTTGAAACAGTTTGCTTTTGAAAAACAAGCTTTGTAATCATACACAAATTAATAGTATGAAAGGTCATCATAGTGGATTCTTATTTTATGTCGGACAGATGAAGGATTTTTAACACTGGGGATATCTCTATCCTAATGTTGTTCGCACCTTATACCACTTCCTTTTTATTTGGACAAAATCTGCAACTAATCCATTTTTTACCAAATATGCAAAATCCTCCGGTTATATATTTAGAGCATAGTCTAGGTAAACTGACTAAGCCCTAGTATTGAGATTATCCTAGTGTTTCATAGTCTAGGTAAACAGACTAAGCCCTAGTGTTTAAAAAAGAGACCAAAGTAGGTTTTCTCCTATTAATCTAACTTGTGAGAGGTGCTTTCATGATACTTATCAGAGTAACTTTCTTATTCGCATAATTAGGTTCGATCTTCATAGTGGTGACTGAGAGTTTGTGTAATGTGTATTAGTGGCTAAAAGAAGTGAAGAAAATCAATTCTAAGTGAGAAAATTGATTCTTGATACCTACATAATTGATTATTTACAGGTTTCATAAAGCAAGAATTGATTCTTGCTTATGTTAAATATATGAAGAATTAATTATCTATCTACGAGAATCAATATTATTCACACAAAAATGATCGAGATGACTATAATCATTTCTCCATTGCTGGAATCGATTCTACCAAAGGTTATGTGAAGAAGCTCCTTCAAGTAGCATACCTACGTTAGCTTGCATTTACTACGATTTTGTGTTTCAATTGAACAGTTTCCTTTTTATTATTATCAAATAAGAATTTTTTTCTTTCCTTTTAGTAAACATATGTAGATCCAAAAATGAATCATCATCCAAACCTTGTTTCAACCTTTCATCATTCATTCCATATATCCAACTCTTTCAATGTTAGGACATCACATCAACTCTACTCATAATAGAAACAAAAATATCATCAATTATAATATTCATGCATCACATAAACTCTATCCATAAATTTACTTTATATTTAATTTTTTAGAAATTACAATTTTTAAAAATAATTATCTAAAATTTATTTCAAAATAATTTCCACTAATTATATTTTATTTTAATATAATTTTATATATTTAAACTTTTATATTAAAACTAATAATTTATATCTAATTTTAATATTATTTACATCAATTTTATATATATATATATATATATATATATATATATATATATATATATTTTTTTTAATCTTACAATTTTATCAATTAAAACATCTTTTAACATGTCAAATTAAAAACATCACTCACAAGTTTTCATCTTATTTTTTCTCTTAATCAAACTTTGAAATTTTTTTAACCTGCACTCGTTTCCACCATCGCATATCCATTTTCAAACCCAAACCAAGCTAAATTACAGAATTCACATAAGACTCGTAGACCAACCTATACGCAACCTATTTTGATATCTACATAGAAATAACTATAGGTTAAAAATCATATTATTCAATTTACTTTTTGTATTTTTTTCTTTCATGTCTTAAAATTCTGGAATTATTCTTCTAATCTTTTTAATTAATCGAATTACATTCGGTCATTGTTTAGTTTTAATTTTATTTATTTAAATTCATTGCAACTTATTAAATTGTAATTTACTTATAGTTATTTTTATTTTATTCTTATTTTATCTTATTAAATATTTATTTTTTATATTTCTACATTCCTTTATACTTCCATCACTTTAACATGATCTAAGTTTGGATTAAAAGAAAAAAATTAGAAAGTAGAGAAAAATAAGAAAAAAGATTATAATTGATAAGTTTGATTTGACTAATTAAAAAATTAAATAATAAAATAAAATTATTTAATAATTAAAACATTTTTTTTGTAATTTTAATATAAAATAATTATTTAATAAAATAGATGTAAATAAATAAAATTAATTTATATATGAATTGATAATAAATTATGATAGATATTTATATTTTAATTTATTTTTATAATAAATTATGAATAATATTAAATTATAAAAATTATTAAAAAAATGACTATAGTGTAATTTTAAAAAAATTATATAATAAATTGGAAGTATATGATTAAATATGAGATAATTATTTTTAAATTAAAAATAATATTAAATTTTAAAATTATTTAAATAAGTAATATAATTTAGTATTGAGTATTTTTTTTAAATAATGTAACTTAACCAAAACTTATTCAATATTAATACAAATACTTTATTATATCATTTTTATTATACTTTAATTTATATTTTTAAAATTAGATACGACCTCGTTTAATTTAGATGATTGATATGCTCATTTTAAAATTATTTAGTATGATGTTTCTTAAATGTGATTAATGTTTTAAATTCATGTTTAATTTTTGTTTACTTTAAAAACCAATTTTGGGAGAATATTAAACAAATATTCAAGAAATTTTAAAATTATTTGGGTTTGATTTTCCAATTTAAATTTATAAATTTTAACAAAATATAATAATTATTATGCGTGTTTCTCTAATTTTTATATAAAAAGGTATAAATATTTATGTCAATGAAACTTTTATTAATATAAATATTAGATATAATAAATAAGAAAATTATACTTACGTTTATTCTTAATCAAGATTGTCTTAAATACAAAGCTAAATTAGTTTTAACAACCATAGATCTATAATTCTATCAAATTTATTTAAAATAACAATATTAAAATCACCATCACATTTAATATTAAAATAAAATATAATTAAACATTTATCAAAATTAAAACTAATTTATATATCTCATTCCAAAAAAATCCAAAATCCCTTTTAAAGACAAAATCATCACAAATAAAAACTTAAAATCAAACAATATCTTAAATAAAAATGAAAATAACGATATTAATATACCAACTATAAAAACAACACTCTTTCCTTCCAAATCAAAATAACCACCAATGGTGAAGTTGAAAAGTTGCTAAATCGTCTATGATTATCTTCACTTAGTTGCATTTGCAACTTCATCCGCAACATCAATAACCAACAACAGCTACACAAAGTTCACCAAAATGTATGTAGAAATTAGACCCGTGAGTTGCTTAATATTGATTATCAATAGTCATAAAATAATGATACAGTGACATTGTTCGATTATCATTGTTGCGTATGTATATCAGCTACAGTTGTTACACTCTTGCATATATACCTACTTAGCATCATACAAATGCAGGTTCAAAAAAGTTAAAGTCTCTAGAGGAATTGAACACATCATCACTCGAGCAGAAGGTACAAGTAGCAAAAATCAGTATGGTCCATCTTCACTCCAGAAATAAATTACATAGGCCCTCCTCCAATGGCGCTGCCACTTACACCATCCATAATGGCAAATCGCATGTCTTCAGATGGTTTCCAATGTCGTTTCCTTTGATTGATGAACCAATTATTTATCTGCTTTTGATCAAGTCCAGTCATTTCTGATAGTTGCACTTTCTCCTCCTCCTAAACAAAGAATCTGTTTCAACCCATTTGTATAATATTTGCCAATGTTTATTCTATTCACATGGAAATGTTTGATCACCTAAGTCACCAGAAGTTTCATGGTTTAAGTTTCTGTCAAATGTTTTTTGCAACTAATATCAAGTTATCCATGCCCATGCCCTCATATTGTTCATACAAATGCTAGATTTCATCCTCTACTACAAATACAACACAAATTTTCATGTCTCCAGCATGCGGAACACAAATTATCGATGACACAAATCACCAAGTTACAAGTTGTCAGGATTAAAGCAATTTGTTTAGTGCAGTGTTAACATAGCTTAACATACATGCATAATAACAAGAGAGTTGCTATTTTCAAATCATTGCTGATTGATCAAATTATGTCAATGAATATAACGTATGTTATGTTGATACACACACAACATGATATTGATTTCAGTTACCGTAGGATAAGGCCACCTATAGTGGGTGCTCCACCAGTTCATGAGTATCATCCTTGCATCCTTAGGAAGCTTACCCTTTTTTCTTTTCTTCAAAAATTCCTTTCTTAAGCTGCTAAGATAACCACCATACTTACGAAGGAGCATTTCTTTAAGCTCGTGATCACCTGGACGGGGGCCAGAAGATTCGTGACCTTCCACTGTTTCCATCTTCTCCCAACTCAATTCATCCTCTGAAGTCCCAGCTACCTCATCTGGCAAGAACGCTGAAAGATACAAACAAAGAGAATTAAAATGCTTCCCACAAATAAGTACTACCAGCACATTCCATGATACAAACGGTTCAAATTTTCAGTTTAAGAGATTGTGAATAAATGGCCAAACTGCATATTTTCCATAATGGTCAACTTGGCATTGACCCAAAAAAGAGGGCGGTGAAACTTGGAAGAGAGAAACAAGATGCAGTGCAGAGGAAGAACATCGGAGAAGAAAAGCCAAAGCTTCAATTAAACTTGAAGATGATATGATAATTTGGCTACAAACATTGGCAGTACAGGAAATTAATACAAGCCAAAGTCAGGCCTTTCTGAATATTTTTGTTGCTGTATTTTCATCCATTCATGGTTATGGATCAAAATGGTCCCCCACTTCAATATTTTCCAATTCGGGACTGACTCTACTCATTTATAGCGAAAGACCCAACATGAATCTTTCGCTTTCACTTTCATAAACATACACTGCTTCTCTATATGCAAACAAAATGTAAAACTTGGACTATGATTTTCAGGTAACCATCCCAAAATATTGCACCATGCAAAATCTTAAAGTCAAAACCTTTCGTTTTCATAACTTGGATATGTCAGGACTCCAGAAGGCAATCAAACATCTTCTATTTTCCGCAAATTCAATATTGAAATTGAAAACATTAATGCAGCTTTGACATGGACAGGAAATTAGAAATTGCTTAAGAGTAATGTTATATTCTCCTACAAATATCATAGTACTTCGTTCCAAAAAAGAAAAGTAAATACATCTAATACTACAAACTCGAAAAACATCTAATATTTTCTTTATCTAATAACTTGGAAGAAGATTTAGTAAATAATTCGCATGATGTTGCATTACTAAATTATTTCAATCTAGGATATAGCTAAGATAAGAAGTTGTTAACAACTGGGCAAATGATATATTTTGACATTTAGAAATTACTGATACACGACCTAATTTACACATGGAAATCTGTTACCAATGCAATTTGCAAGCAACAAAACAACAATCTATATAGTCATATTGAAATATACTTGACACTTAAACAATAGACTACAGTCAAAAGCTAGAAGAGATCAATGTACCTCACCATTTTTTTTTCCTGATAAAAGTTAGGTTTTTCCCAAGATTAACTACTAAGACCAAACATGTCTCAAGACTCAAAGAGTGTTTACAGATATCCCATCATCAAGATTTCCTTATCAGCAGAAGGATTTGATTAAACTTTCTTCTAGGACTTTAGATCGATCCTCACCAAATGAATGAATTATTATAGTCAATTTTTCTACTATGTTATACAACCATTTTCTCTCTTGTATCATTTATATGACATTTTCTTCCTAACTGTCTCTTCCTTTCACAAGATATCACTACTCACTTTTACCACTTTTCTCTCTATCTCTTCCTTTTTTTTCTTTCCTTGTCTCTTACCTCCACTCCAAATTAGGGTGAACATTAGAATTTTTTTTTTTCCTTTTCCTTTTTTTAGCGTGCAGTTATTAACTACTCTTTCTGGAGGGAGAATCCATGTTAACAGAAGTGAGTGACGTGGGCATCATTGAAAATATTAATATAAATTTAAATGAATTAAATAAGACAAAATCCGATTCCATCCTCAACGTACAGAAAGAAGAGGGCAATTTGTTCGTCTTCACCTAAAATCAAAACATGGTACAATAATTATAATGAAATGAAAAAAGGTCTATATCCATATTCGATCGAGCGTAGGAATAAAAAACAATGCTGGCACGGGTTACGAATCAAGTGTTTATTACCTGAGCGGTTGTTATCCAGTGGCAATGTCAGTGTTCCCTTACAGAGATTGCTGAGTTGTGATTCAATGCTACACAAAAACAAGGTCGCTTCGTTGAATGGCTTGGACAGCTCCTGCTTGTATCTATGAAGAACCTCGCAGTATGACTCCTTAAAACGGTTGCAACAACAATTAAAATCTTCATTACAGCATAAGTTTATTATCAATCTTCTTTGCTACCTCAATCAAAACACAACACCGCATCCCTCCCTGAAAGAAATTAGTTTAAGATGGAAAAGAAAAATACCATGAACTCGTCAAGCTCAGGATCATCTCCTATCTCACGAAGAGCATTTGTTGGGTGGCTTTCACGGGCTATTTCTTCAAGAAGTGAAGCAAGTTCTGGAGGTGCTCCAACCTTCCAATGATTAAAAACCGCAACTACCATTTATTCTTAATATTCATAAATTTGCTTGTTATAATATTAAGCACAGAGATAGAGCATAAAGAGAAGACAAGAACGGGGATTGAGTGAAAAAAAGTAAGAAAATATAACTGAAATGGCATAACCTTTCGGCATTCTATGTAAGCAGATACTAGATTTGGATAAAGAGGGTGAGTGGCGATCTGGGTCTTGATGAACCGATCCGACATATTCGAACTTTCTGGCTCTTCCAGCTGAAGGAAGTTATTGGCCACAAGTCCGAGATTCAATTCAGATGCAGCAGTAGCGGAAACGTTGACGTTGACTTCTCTAACAACATCCTCAGGACAAGACAGAAGAGGGTTCAGCTTGTAAAAATCTTCCATCGATATCCCTAGCTACTCTCCACTTTAAAAACACTCTTCTCAGCAACCAACTACATATATATAAACAGCATATAACTAGAGAATTTGCATAAAACCAAAATAGAGCACATGCTGTGGAAAACCAACAAAAATATCTAGCATACAGTGCAAACCATGCAAGTTTCTTTGAAGTCAGCAGGGAAATTAGTCTGAACTTTGAAGAACCCAACAACAGAATGTGTAGAAAGAAGAAGGGGCAAGTTTTTTTTTTTTTTGGTTTTGTTTGAGGTTTGTTGTGTCTGTGTTGTGGATGGAGTGACCCGGTGAGAGAGAAGGTTAAGTGGAGTCTATGAGAAGGGGGGATGAGGGAGAAAGAGGAGAAAGTAGAGTTATTACGGCACCTGGAAAGGGACGAGACGTTGTTTTTCTTTTCCAATAAAAACCTGGGGAAAAGGAACAAAGGAAAGGAGAGAGAGAATAGAATTAGGAAAATAGGGTCTGGTAATGGTAAGTAAGAGGGAAAGTGCAAAGAGAGGAAAGAACTGAAACAGTAGAAGGGATTTGACAAGGTTAAGGTGTCTTCTGCAAATACATAGGCATGTAGGTGATGTATAGGCCGTATTTGTAGACGTCACTTTCTGATTTTCACCCTGACGTGACATTTCGCCACGTGACTAAACTTGATTGGCGACTCTAACATGCGGGTCCACTTACCTGCATGCAAGTCTGAAAGTACCTATTATCATCATCCACTTCTGCTAATAATTCCAACCTCACACACACGCTTGTCTCTGCTCAACTTATTTTCTCAACTCATTTATTGCGCCACATCAGTAACAATAATAACCATTCTGCGTTTTCAAGTTCTGCTTCTAACCTTCTACTGCTACTGTTACTACTCCATAACAAAATAATCACTTTCTTTACACACACACCCAAAAACGTATCAGATTATAAAACAGATTTTTTCTTTTCTTTCTAAGATCACCTACTTTAACTAATTACGTAATAATACGTTATGACATAAGTTATGTTTACTTCCAAGTTTCAAACATACTTTTACCAAATTTAATATATAATTGTCAATTATATATATATATATATATATATAATAAAGAATAAAAAGTATTTTTAAACTATCCTGCCTTTTAATGCAAACCTACGCGTAATAATTTAGAGCCGATAATTTGACAACTATATATATTAAAAAGCAATAAAAAATATTAATATAAAAATAATATTATTATATTGGTCTAATATTTAGGCTGTCAAATGAAAGTGATTAAATGAAATAAAATATAAATATTTTATTAATTAAATTAAAAATCGTAAATGTATAAATACTTAATTATTTAAATTTATTTTATAAAAATCTATTTCTTTCAGATATATATCCCTAATGAGAAATTATTCATTTTTTTAGATTTTATCCTAATATAATTAGTGATTATAACATTTTCATTCATCCGAATCACATTTAGTGGAAATTTATATTTGTCCTCTTTCTTCGGTTGCATGTGTGAGAAATTATGCTTCTAAGTGGATTTTTGGGAACAAATATCAATCTTTAGTGGTCTAAAATCGCGATGATGTTCAATTCATTAATTGATTTTTTTTTTTAATATACATTTGAGTTTCCTATGTTATGTTATACTTTACTGAAATATTGACCAAAATAAATAAAATCCCAGCTAAAAGAAACTTGTTCTTTAAATTTTGTAGTATATTAGAATAGAGGACATGAATGTCGTGATGTAATTTGATGACAGGTGATTGAATCGGAGAATTTGTAATTTGGAATGAGTTGTGCGATGGATGAGTGGTGTTATGAATTGTTCATAGTTTTATAGTGGCCAATGAGGTAAAAAAATAAATATTGGTTACATGTCCAAAATTGAAAGAAAAATTATTAAGTTGATAAAACCATATATGACTTATTCTAAAAGAATTTGAATCAAGCGATAGTTTAATCGCGAAAACGAAAACGATAATTGATATTTAAATTTGATAGTTTTTGCTAAAATAAAAGAATTATTATTGGGCGAAAATGAGATTGTAAGTGATTATTAATTTTAGTATATTTTTATTCAACGAAAATTATTTTCACTCAAATCAAATATCCCTATATTGAAGAAAGAAGTGACGTGACTTAATTCACTAAATTGATACTATGATCACTTCAACTACAAATATTTTTAATTTGAAAATCAAATAAGATTTTAACTGTGTAAAACTCATGATTAAGCAACTTGGAATGTTATATAATTTGTTTAGTTTTTTTTATATTTTAAATAATATTTTTTTAATATTTGTATTTAGTTGTTGTATTTCATGGAGTTGTTATACTTAAATATTTATTATTTTGTGATAAATAGTAAATTAAAATTTTAGTGTTTATATTTATTTTGCACTGTATAACTTTGAATGATAAATTTTAACATGTGAACTAATATGAGTTATAAGATTATTGATTGTGAAAATGAAAATCATGTGAGTGTTGTTTATCGATGTAAAATTATTATAAAATATTTTGACAATACTAATTTATGTACTAATATAAAGAAAATTATGAGATTGTGAGAATTAAAGGGTTTATTTTGCTCTATTCATTTATTGGTGTTTCATCAATTTGAAGAGATTCTTTCTTTTTGTTGTGTTGGCACGAGCATAAGTACCTATGCACGTTTCTAAAGTTCAAATTCAATACATGTGTTTTATTTTACATAATATAATTATATAAATATTAGATATATTATATTGTCAAATTTATGTTATTGTAATTTATTCTATTTTGAAGTCTCTTCCTTTTACCATTTATATATAAAATAAAAATTAATTTTATCAGTATAACTTAAATTAAACCGTTCATTTTGAAAAATTTAATTTAAAAATTATTATAAATAAATAAATAAATATTGTAATATAATATTTGTTAACTGTAAAAATATTTTATTAGTTATACTTAAATTAAAAATATATATAATTTATATATCAAAGTATATATTATTAAAAAAATTAAAATTTAATTTAAAGATATTAATATAAGATATTTTATTTTATAAAAAACAATTAATAATTATATGATTAAATTTTTAATTTTATAAATACTTAATTAGGAATTTTTATATAAATATTTTCTTTATTTTTCAAAAAAATAAACATTTTTTTTACGTGCTGTCACAATGAATTTTTTAAAATAAAATAAATATAACCAGTTATTTGATTATAAAATGCAAACTAATACATCTCAATATAAATTATTTGTAATTATTAGTCATATAAGAAAAATCTTTCACAGTATATAAGACCAAAGACATAATATAAATATTTATTAAATTATAAAGATTAAGAAATATATCTATAGTTTAGGGAAAAAAACTTATCTCCAAATTGAAGAAACTAAAAACATATAAAAAAATTGTTTATATTATATATTAACGGTCAAGTAATATTTTTTTAACTTAAATAGCAATACAAAACTAAAATCTTGTATGGATTTTAATTTGAGTTCGATCTTGTTTGTGTTTTTTTGTTTTATACTTTTTATTTTTATTTTTATGTATGCATTTATTTCCGGTATTAAAATTTCACTTCACCATGTTTTTTTTATATCTTAATTTCCTTATTTATTGGCATCCATTTTGTATGTGATTAATTCTAATCTTATTTGAAACAAACAATATCCTTTTATTTAGAAAGCTTATCATTAAATTTGTCTATTTATTTAACTAAACTTTTTTTTACTTCAATTATTCATTTCTGTTATTCATATCTATATTTATTTGTTTTACTTCAATTTTAAAATATGATTAAAGTATATTATTTAACATTATTACATATTATCTAGGCTTATTTGCTTTTAAGTTAAAATATTTTGTTATTATTTTAATATAACGGTCATTTTGCTTACATTGAATTTGACCAAGTTGACCATGAATGGTGAGTGTTTAAAAAGTAACATTGATTTTGATGAAAAACATACACCTTCCTTGAATGACATATTGAAAAGGGTTGGAACCTGTCACTGGTTTCAATGGATATTTCTTTCACATTTATGTTACATTATTCACCCTTGGACATACACTCCTTTAATGAAACTTAAACTCATTAATCATGCATTATAATTATTGTCCATGTACTTTTACAACCATAAATATTAAATTAAAAATATGTACTCTTTAAATAAAAAATAAAAATAATAACAATCGCATGAATAACTGATTTCTTTAATATGGTGTATAGATAAATGATGAAATAACAAAATAAACTTATAATTAATAATCAGATTAACATACATACATACATAAATAACGCACAAAATAATTTAAATAAAATTTTCATATACGACTAATAATACAGAACAGAAGAAGAAAACAATTGAATAAAATAGAGTAATTAATAAACAAAAATTATAAAAGGTTTACGTGTTACACGAATACATAAAAATAAACAAAAATATAAGAATATATAAGAGTTTTTAGATGATGTTTAAAACAATTTACTCATGACTTTCATTTTTTATTATAATTATTTTTTACCTTCGTATTTATCTTTTTATAAGGTGAAGTTTGTTGAGATTACGAGGGAAGATAGACGAAAAAGAAGTAAAAATAATATGTGTGTTTGGTGTAGGAGACAACCAAGAAGAGAAGAGAACAAAACAAAGTTTAAGTATTATTTTTATTTGTTTTATTCATACTTATTTTTTTATGTTTAATTTATTTCTTTAAAATTATAAAATTTTTACTTTTATTTTTACTTATTTATTTATTTCATGCTTTTTTTTTTTCCTTTTTCACCAAAAACACCTCTTATAAATATGAGAGAGGTAATTATTTAAACTTTTTCATATACACCTTTATGCCCTTATCGATGAAAATGAAAGATTATTTACTCACAGAAAAAAAAAAAGAATTTGTGTTTGAATAAATGAATTTGTACAGTAAAAAAACAAAAAAAAGTCACAGATATAGATGAAAGACGAAACTGTCTTTCCTTATTCTATCATGATCTCGTAGTAA